TCCACTATAAAACTGTTGTAGCTCTATGTAAAATTTTTGTTCATGAACTAACGTATTATTTTACGGCTAAGCTCGGTAAATTTATCAATTTACGAAAATGTTCCCGTAAGATAATACATTTTATCTCTCGTTTACGTTCTTACGAAAGTTGATCCATTTACTAGGAAATTGATCAACTTACAGAATTTATTATATTCGGATGACAGATTCACTGCGTATCCTTGACCGTACTTTATCTACACAAACTCAAGAAGCGATAATCTGATGGACAATATAATTTTGTCTAGAAACAGCGCCGATTGTACTACATAGATTAGCTAACGACATTGATTAATAGGTGACAATATTATTTCCTGTATAATATCAATTTTATCTATATACATACATGTACCTATTATAAAATTAAATCGCTTTCCGCGTTTTTCCTGCATATTGACTAGCTCTTTCTTAACAACGCCACAGATTTCGATAGGGTTTTTACTTATATTATAGGATAAATATTGTTTCACGAAAAGAGTATAATTTCAGTTCATCAAGAGTATAATTTTAACATGATACTTTAAGGAAAAGGAGCGTTGGCTTGCCAACAACCTGATGTTTACAGGTTGGCAAGGTATTAAAATATGATAAAATTATATCAATGATTAAATAAATAAAAAAACAGAGTCAGCGTTTACACCAAAGCGAATAAAGACGGGTAACCTATTTAATAATACAAACCACACCTTTTCATTCAGAAAACTTGAAATTACCAAACTGAGTAAGTGAATAATAATTAAATTGAGTTGTTAAAAAACAAAGGTTCTACTATACACAACTTCTCTATCAACTTTGTTTTATCAATCAGTAAAATTACTTTTTAATTTATTAACAACAAAAAACAAGACTAACAATGTTTCTTTTGCATGAGCAGTTTACCAATAATTGTTTGCTTTGCTCAGTGGTAAGGTGGTAATTTCGGTCTTTATTGCATTGGGATAGAGTTGCCTTTGGCGTTGTAAAAGTTGAAAGTCACTTTCTACTCGTTTCATTCACCGTAAACAGCTGATTGCTATTGCTGTGTGGAATGTCGGATAATACTCTGTACGTACGAAGATCAATTGAAACTTAAAGAGATCACTAAAGAAATCATTTCTGATAAATTAACTGGTACATTATTGAAAATTAGTAAGGTTCACATGAAAATTAAAAATATACTCAGGACATTTCACAACAATAATTTACTCACAAACAAAGCAGATCATGTGCTATGGTAAATCAATATATAATTAGTGTGTAATCCACAACCAAGGAATAAACATTTTTTCTGCTCATGATCCCAAAATAATAGTTTATTAAAGGAACATATTATGTCGGACCAGTTTTATTTGACATTTGGAAAAGAGATTGGTTGGCTTATGTCAAATTGAGAATTGCTTTAATCTGAACAGGATCAGGGAAGCAAATAAAATTATTCAATAAATAAACTCTCTGATTTATCTGACTCTAAATTATTTTAAATTTAAAACACTTTTTGACCTTGTAGATTCCACCTGACCTTGTTAACTGATCTGCGTTCATTCATTCATTCAACTGAAGATAACTGATATAGCAATCAGCAAGGACTTTCCTTGATAATAAAATAAAGCGAATGGTATTGCCAATAAAGTATTTTCTTTCTAAGAAAATGGAGAAATACGAGCCAAATATCTATCCATGATTACGGGAGTACGTACGTACAAACGAACGATGAAAAACATCTCCAAGTATTTGCGTCTACACACAAATAATGGAGATCAAATAACAAGCAAGGCAAACCAAAACATGTTTTGTACGGCAGTACTTAATGTACTCACGTGGTGACAATACCGTGACTACGTAACATTCATAATAACGTCGCAATTATTCTGCCTGCAATAGAAACGTCACTAATTGGTAAAAGAATATTATGATTGAAGAACGTTGAATTTCAGCAACTTTCGCAGTGGTCGGTCATTGGATGGGTGACCGAAAATTTACTATCTCGAGCTCCTCCGTGCTTCGGAAGGCACTTTAAGTTGGTCCCGGCTGCATCTGCAGTCGTTAGCACCCACCAACCCGCACTGGGCCCGCGTCTTGGGTCATGGCCCAATCTCCCTATTCCATCCATAGGGAAGTCCTGTGCCCCAGCAGTGGGGACATTAATAGGCTGATAATGAAACTCGTGTTGAACGCCTGAATAACTTTTTTTTTGAGGCAATAAAAGGTAAGAAAGAGATTATGGCCCTCATAGCATTAGTAAAAATGGAAAACTGTAGAAGCAAATTCCTAGATTGTTTAAAATTTAAAAGATTCAAACAACAACACCATTGGCTTCGTTTTTAATCTTTTAATTAATAACTGTAAGTCTTTAGAAGAATAGAAACTGATCTTGATACAAAATCTAAAATATAATACCTGATTCTAGGATGCCAAAAAAATATAGGGACAACAAGTTGTGAATGTTGTGATGACCAATGAGTCATGCGGTAGGATTTTTAGTAATGCCATACAGGATGACTCACACGTGAGAGAATGAAAATATTATTATGAAATTGTACTGATTATAAACACAAATTCACATGTAATTTTTGAGATAAGCGATAATTAAGATAAGGCAGATTTACATACAACAATATTTTTAAGAAAATTATACTCGATTCCAGTTGAGAAAAGAAATCCAGATTTATCCAACAAATTTTTGACTTAGCATACAGGACATTTTTGGAACGAAGGAGAAAGAAATATAGTGGCATTAGGAAATGCAATACCGGGATCCCGTATTATGTCCGGTGTTACTCTACGCGCAGCGCATATGGACGAAAAATAAGTGTTCCCTTTCATAGAATTTATGAAAATATACTTTATTTTGACAACCTCCGTGACCGAGTGGTTTGTACGCCGGGTTTCAAAGTGTCGCCTACTCGTGAGATCCTGGGTTCGAATCCCAGTGGGGGCAGATGTTTGTGTGATGAATACGAGCATTAGTACTCCAGTCATGGTTGTTTCATATGTATTTCTATATAAATATACTTATATATGTCCAATATACATGTGTATTCTATCCGTTAATCCATACCACAAGCCTTTCAGTGCTTACTTTAATGGATGCGAGTGTTGGAAATATTTATTTATTAAATTTAAGGGAGCATCCAATTGTCACTTTAATGTACAAACAGTTTGCGGTATCGTGGGTTTTACTCTTTTAGGCACACGAACATGGTGTAAGCTAGTATTATTAATTCAACGTTCGTCTGTCCACTGAATAACAATAATGCCAATTATTGTGTAAGTGATGCGAACAAAACAATGCATGATTATTCCAATAGTACGTGTGTATCTTTCTCGGCCTGAAGTCATTCGTCTGTCAGGCTACGCAGTGAATTTGGAAAACAAATTTGCCTACAGCGCAAACACTTTTCCTAGCTTGAAATCTTAGCTCAATTGCATAAATTAAATAATTTAATGAAAACTGTAAGTTATCTATGTGACTTCACAGGGGTTGCATTATTTTAACATACATTAGAATGCGTATATATATATAGAGTAAAGGAATTTGTGAGTGCACGCAAAATAAGTTTGTCTTCGCTATCGCATTAGGATTTTTTCCTATTATGATAAATTACAAGTTTGGTTGAAATAAATAAATATTTAAACAGACCACCATAGCTAAAAACTTAGGTCGAATGGTGCACAGCAGTTTAGTAAGATTCCAAAGAAGACTGCCTGCTGAGGAAACCTCGTAAAAAACGTGATGGTGTACAATTCACGTGACGCCTCGTAACAGATACGTGGAGATAATGGGAACGTGTGCGCGTTATGTCAACAACGTTCAGCTGCATCAATGTGAACTATCAGAAAGTACCGATATGCGCTGATTTACCACAGAGCCAAATCATTTGTATGTGTTGGAAGTACTTACAGCACGTGTCTTCAGGTCATCCAAGTACTTTATAAAGATAATTGATAAATAGTCAATCATCATCATCATTAGCCTATTAATGTCCCCACTGCTGGCTCATAGGTCTTCGCTATAGATGGAATATGGAGATTGGGCCATGACTCACCACGCGGGCCCATTGCGGATTGGTGAGTGCTGTCTTGGTACTATAGTCAATAGGTACATGATTTTAAGAAGACCAGCGTCACAATCTTACCTATCATATAATGGCCTGCGCAAACGCAGGGACTTTTGTCCGCTGACTTATTTGTCCACCAAAATAGATCAGTTAAATCCGCGCAGGCCTTAAAGTTAATTATTCTTTGAATTGTGATGCTGAGTTTGACAATCCCATTCAATCGAAAGCATATTTTTATATTATGCTTTCGTAAACAATAATAAATTCTAGTTAATGCTAAAACACTAAAATAAAACGGAGATAATGACAGAGAATTATTAAGGTTATGTATAAATAGCAGCCGAGATTTTTAAATTCTAGGGCGCAGATTTTTAACTGTCTATCATTCACCATGAAAACAAATCTATACATTTATATACATGTAGTTGGTTTAGCTAATCACAAGATTATTCTGAGACATGACGTTTCATAATAAAATGCGGCTGCGTTAGTTTAAATAAAAATATATTTATAAAGAAGAACATGTTTGATTAGTAATAAAATATTTTTGATTAAGCTTTCCAATTTCTATCTCAAGACAACGTTTACTAGAAAGCGTTCCATCAACTTCTAAGGAGTTGTAAAATGCAAAAGAGGATGAAGTGAATGTTAAAATAATTTAAAAGAAAATATAAATGGCCTCCTTATATCATTATCGAAGAGGAAAAATGTAACTTATTTCAGCAACAAAGTTTTATTTATAGAAGAAGTTTTTTCTGAGATGCGATATACCAGTCGGATTTTAATAAAAAAAGAATTTATTTTAAACGTCAAAGATACCGTTTGATTCACACGAAAAGCGATAGATAATAACACTGTTATCACACAGAATCCAATCACACCACACATGAACATCGAAAATGTAACACAGAAGCCAGTACTCACGATATCATGGCCCTGACTGCCGCTGCGGACGACCTCGGGCGCCATATACTCGATGGTGCCGCAAAAGCTGTAGGCACGACTCTCGTTACCGCAGAACTCCTTGGACAGCCCGAAGTCGGTGAGAACGATGTGGCCTTCGGCGTCCAACAGGATGTTCTCCAGCTTTATGTCGCGGTAGATGATGCCCAGCTGTCGGAACAAGGTGTTTCAGATGAGAATGTATATGTAACGTGATCTTGAATATTTAACTTATGTAGGATAGAATACATATGTAAATAATAATAACTAGCAAACCAGTGAACCAAATGTTCACCAAAACCTGATTTAAAAAAAATGTATTTAATTAATTGAGAACTTCGGAGATTTTGTGTGGTTTCGTTTGAAATTCGTGATTTCTCGAAAACCGGAAGTGCTACGTTACTCAAATCAAATTCTTAACTTATAACTTAAATATTCTCTTTATCTATCTCTTACGGTTTGGCCGCTGAAACAGCACCACAGACAGACGGACGGACTTGTCTAATAGATAATAATAATAATAATAGCGGTCTCTCCTTTTAAATCGGAGCTGCATTTTTCACCTTAAGAAGACTACAGTGAAATAAAATAACATAACACCCATGTTTTGGTTTGTGGTTCCAGTACTCTATAAGGTAGGATTGATTGGGTTTAAGCCCGCATGATGAGGTTACTGTGAAAGAATGTAACACGATGGAAAAAACTATGTTAAAGTTTTTTTATATTAATAATTGATTAGTAATACATATCGCACTAATATTACAACAGTGTTGTAACTCAAAATTGATTGTTTTTCAGAATCAAGGAAAAACTGATTATTCACTTTTTATTACAGATTATAAAAAAAATCATTCTTTATGTGTTTTATTACAGAATTTAAAGAAATTATATATATACCAATAATTTTAAAAATTACGGGGACTAAAGTTATTCACATTTTTTGAGTTGATACGGTATAATATCGAACAAACTTTTCAAAATGAAATATTATTTTTAGTTGTGTAGTTATTTTAGAAATATTTTGGGTTACTACTATTTGAATATAGCTTTTTTGGTATAGTTTAAATATACATTTTAGAGTTACAACAATTCTAAGAATTGTTTTTGGTATTATATTTACGTATAACTTAAACATTTTCTCCGAGTTAGGGTATTAGTAAATAAAAACAAATAAAGTTTTATAAGAAACAATTATAATTTCGCAATAAACTGAATTAGAACAAAACATACAATGTTTGAAGTAATACAAAATAGTGAAATATTTTGTATAAGTGATTACAAAATAAAGTTTCTTAAACAAAACATTTCCTAGATACATACAAGTATAAAAATAAATATCTATTTATTTCTAAACTTAGTAAGTCCTTACGAAACATAAAAAACAGTCTTTTCCGACACATAATAATTATCACTAATTATTCTTATAAAGTAGTTGACGCATTAAATGTAAACTTAATCAAATAATCAACAGAATAAAAATCCCAAAACAAAACCAAACAAAAATAAAACAGTCTTTCTAGATACTAACAATATTTTCTAAGTCCTTACAAAATAAAAAATAACAGTCTTTTCCGATACAAATTACTATAACTAGTTTTTATTAAACAGTTATTATTATTTTTGTCCGATTTTGACAACAATGAAGGTAATAAATTTGAGGGATGTGTACATTCTTCAACAGGTTCGTCCTTTGTCCTGGTTTTCGCCGCTCGTTTTTATTGCCATACCAATAAGTCCACGATGCATAGTGATTCTGCAAATTAATCAAGTTCTTGTTAGCAAAATACATACAAAGCACACGTGTCACATAGAGTGTAGTAACTCTAAATTAACGAGATAAAATATTTAGTAAACATTTTCCTACTTTAACAATAACATATTCCAATACACCGTGATAAATACTATGATAAACAATTGGGCTTTTCTTTTAATACTAACAAATTAAACATTAAAAGGTGTGCAATCGTCATGCATCAGCCATACTGTATCATGTCTAAAATGAATAACTAAACCAATAATAATGTCGTAAATAAAAAAATTATTTGAAATATCGCTTGTATTAATCAGTAAGAGTGTATTAACTTTAAATACACCCATTTCATATTAAAGTTTAAATCAGCAAAAACGTAATAATTCAAAATAATACTTTAAATTTTCCATACCTGAATCAGCAATACTGGTACAACTCGAAATATTACGCAAAGCGGCACGTCCTTCCTCGATCACTGTTGGTCGCAACTAAAGAAGAAGCAATATTAAGCGGGGGGTATGACAGTTGGTCAGTCATCTATACTGACTTATAACGCCATCACTTATTTGTTTTTTGCATTATTTCAACGACGGTTTTATTGCCTTGTGCGAAATCGCATCCAGCGTTTGAATATGATGTTATCTCAAATTCGACATTTTTTGAGTTACGACACTGTTGTAATATTAGTGCGATATATTATGTTAACTATAAGGATAAAAAGACGGACACGAAGCGACCTCTCACTAAATTATTATATTATTCCAACGAAACATTTTGGTTTGAAACTGTTAAATCCATCTGTCGTAAATACAGAGGACGAGCGTTAAACAGCTTGACAGACGGACAGCCATTGAGCAAGCGTTAGCTGTCGGCCATTTCGGCATATCTAATTTATTTTCTTGTCTCTTTAGAAGTGTTTATATTTTGAAATTAGATTTTTTTTACAAGTTGATCCCTAAATTATTAGTATTTTGAAAAGTGATATTTCTTTAATTTAGGCTTATACTGTTTTCTGTCGATTTGAGAGTGAGTAGTCGACATAGTATATATTATAGTTTTAAATAAATTTAACCCCAGCCCCCGTAACATGAGCACTACATTTTACATTATATCGCGTCTAACTGTCAAACTCCATAGTAACACTTGAGCGTGATAAAAATGCGTTACATATCAATATCGCGGTGATTATGCTAAGGGGGCTGGTGGACTTAGTTACTAATGTACTTAAACATGGTCATATGTAACACAAATAATTTGTAAAGAATCTAACGGTAATTATAGACCAAACCATATTCTTTACAAGGGGTTCCACAAGGATCATGACTAGGACCCTTACTGTGTGACAAGTGTTAAATCTAATTATAAATTCATTTTCAATTTTGCGATGGGAGAAATGACGAAAGAGAAAAAAGTTTGGAAAGTTGCTGTAATTCGGTTACATTATTAATGTTCGCTTACAAAAAAAGTCACGACGACAGAGACGAAAATACCATAGTCAATAATGTATTTATGTGTATGATTAAATTATTACAATAATAAATTAATAAACGTCTCTCTTTAAATATTACACTTAAATTACAGATAACAGAACAAAATAAAAATTGGGACAGGAAAGCAAAATAAGGGTTTACCAATCTTAATAGATTTCCCCGCGAATTAAAGAAAAGTGATTTACATACCTTGTGCAACTGTTCTAATGCCAAAATAATTTCAGCTATGTAGATCCTAACTTCGTTCTCATTGAAGTGTTCTCTCTGGTATAAGTGAGTAAATAGTTCACCACCAGCTACATAATCTGTGGACAAAAAACAAATAATTTATTATTGACTAGCTGACCTTGCGAACTTCGTACCGCCTTTATAACAGTAGTTAAATGTTTTGAAGCCACAAATTTTTATTAGGGTGCGGAGTTTGTGAAGTCAGGTCTTGTAAAGTTAGGGCGTGGAGAGCTAGAAGCTTGGCTCTACATGATATCTGATAACTTTTTGACAGTGCGAGTCATATGGTTTTGTCTTGGCAGTTTTTACATGAAAATGTTTTGCCGGTGTATGTTTATTTCAAAAGATGGCAGATCAGCATACTATTCGCCTGTTTACATTCGAACAGGTAAGCTTTGAATTTTATTTAGTGCAAAAATGTTTCTTGTTTAAATCCTTTATGCCAGTAGTACTAGTAACGAAAATTCTAGATGAAAGATAAAAATATCCCTGTAAAGGGCAGTACTTTTCCCATTCTATTTGTATTTCAGAGTTACAAAGAAAATATACTTGGAAAAAATTCTAAGAGCCCTTTATTAGTACTACAAAGAAATGTTTTCCCCGTACAATTCACGTAACAATACTGCGAAAATAAGTACTTGTGAAATTTTAAATATAGACCTTTGCAATATTTTTTCAAAATGACCTGGACTGTTGCTGTTATAACTTATGATTTCATTGTTATTTCTGACCGCCGAGGGTATTAAAATAGCTCGCACTCATTTTCTTTAATATTACCAATGCAAAAAGAGCGCGAGACATTTGAGAACCTTCGTGGTCAAAAATAACATTTCTTTTATGCTTTAGCAATAGCCAAAGCAATCCTGACATGCGGTAAGAGCCCTGTACCCCAAGCATGAACAACTAGCGTGGTATTAGTAACGCCATCGTCAGTGTCTATGGAATCAGCTAGTCTGTTCTTACTTCCGGCAGGGGTTCTGCTTTTTCAGGGGTTCATATAGCCAGGTAGGCAAATGACTGTACCCCTCCTGATGTTAAGTGGTGATTCTAAACGTGAAGATAGCTGGTACAGCAGTTATAACTGCCATACCAACTATCCTCACCTTGCCGGCCTCCAAAAAATCTTCTTCACGCCTCCCTTAAAGGACCCCAGATTGTAGAAAGGAGGGAACACTAGCGCGGACTAAGAATTCCACTTACGAATAGTAACTCAAAGAAATGAGTCATCGAAAAAAATCGAAAAAGGCCAGCGCGCGTGGTCCTCTGAAGAAAAGGTGATGGAGGGATAAGGCAGAATAACTCCTCAGAACACTCGCCGTGGTAGTCGGTAGAATACGCTTAATGATGCCACATCGCGGCATAATTGTAGAGACTCGAGTTTGTTAGCTATTTTCCATAGGAACTTTGACACGGCGGCGATACGAACACTTCCTGGCTAGTTTTTCGTGTTTGGCAAAAAGTTCAAAATTTAATATTGTTTATTGGTCTAGACTGTTACAAGCTCTTGTAAAAGTCGAAAAGCTATGCCATGGGTTCGCAAATCTACAACAGGAGACCTTGTACTGAGAAGAACCGGCAAGAAAGTTAAACTTAAACAGAAAACATATTGGGTCAATGATACAATCTCAGCTTCCGTGGAAAATTACCTAAAAAATGGTGCAAACCGCAACAAAAATTCGTTGTGTGGTTTAGGTATCACAGACGGACGTTACTACACCGCTGCCCAAAAAAATAGTTTACTGTATTAATGTATGTATGTACAATTCTTTATTTCACCATAACTTCTAAACGCATCCTGTTCTGATGTGTGTATACCACACATCTAAATCATTAGAATCCTTTCACGATCCCGGATGACATAGAATATCAAAACTGTTAACATTTAAACAACAACAATGGCAAAATGTCTCTTGGACGTTGCTATTGCTACTCAAGTCAAGCAGTTCTCAATCAGTATGCCATTTCAGTGAGTTTCGTTTACACAAGCGGGGAGAAAAATGCATTATATCCACGACAATGACCAACGCCGCGTTAGTTTGCTGCCAACAAACTCTCGCGACGCAGGTAATTGTGTGGTGCATTCGGCAAGCGGCGAGCAGCCCGAGGGCCGCTAGGCAGTACGGGTATACTTTGACGTGCACTCACGTAAGCGTGGCATACGTTAAGCCACCCCGCCTCCGACCGGCAGCCCGGTCCTCACCCGCTTTAGCCGATCCTGGGCTTCTCCGTTCACAGCGCCACCTGACTAGTCTCACAGACCGCAGCCAGAGCGGCTAGCCAGCCGACCAGCTCCCGTACCTACCAGGTAAACCAACTCCCCGATCTACCCCTCGCCCTCCAGGCGCAACTGCGGGATCCAGTTATGAGTCGCCGCTTATTACGCCTGAGCATTTACACAAGACCTTATTCAACTATCAATATTGTATCAGACGTAAATAAGTATCGAATCAGTTTCTATTCATGTGTTGCCTGCTACCTAAAACCGTTCGCTCAATTAACTAAAAACATTGTGACGTTTAGCGCAACATCGAATCGGTCACCATTATCAAGTGAAACGTCTTTTCGAAAGGGGTGTTAGAGGAAAAGTCGTATGGAAATGATGAAACGAAAGTTCGTCACGAGTGTCACATCTTGCGCAGCTCTTCCCGACGAGCATGAAGTTGGAGGCGAGCGTAAACCGCGACAAAATATATACATATATATGAGTGATGCGTGCGTTGCTTCATTCCCCTATGCCTTGTGCACCGCCTAATGTTAGGTTATTACGAAAATAAGTTTCACTTAATATGTGTGGTCCGTGCAAACATTTTTTTTATACGTGGCGCATCAAAGTACCTTGCCGCACCTTATGTTATATGTAAGTAGCGGCCAGTCGCGAAAATAGATGCGGTAGAAAGTGTGCCGCTTCAGCCATCCTCACTTTGCCGCCCTGAATCCAATCCTCAACTAGAGATAGGCGTTTTTAGATATTTGTGAAATCGATGCGCATCGGTATGAGATAAATCGCATCGGATGCCCGCATTGATGCCGGCATCGCATCGATGCCAAGTGAATGTGAGTATCGTAGTATCACAGGATACGCTGCAATATGAATTACAACAGATGCGTGTTTTCCGTGGGTGTGTCTTTTCGATTCCATGAATCATGACTTGAAAATGTAATCGAAAACAATTTATTTACTTTTCGGTATGGCAACTGAAAATATTGAATGCTGCCAAAATTATTACATAAAAAATTGCACTCGGAGCGTAGGTTTTGAACGCAGTCCAGTGCCACAAACTTTCCTGTGCGGGTGGCAAAAATTTGAACTACAATTTATCCATAGTATTGACATATTTGTTCACCGCTAGCAACATCTCCACCGACACAGATAAGTTTGTGGCACAAAAAGTATCGGCATCCAATAACGGCATCTAGTCGCATCGGATGCGCGACTCCAAACCTGGGGGACAATCGCCTAACGGGTTAGGCATGGCTATGGCTATCGCTTACGATTTCATTTTGTTATTTCTGACCGCCTAAGGTTTTCGAATACCTCACGCCCATTTTCTTCGTATTGTTATTACCAATGCAAAAGAAAAAAAAGAACGCGAGACATTTGAAAAACTTGGGGGCTGTCAGAAATAACAATATGAAATCGTAAAGGATAGCGATAGCAATAGCAATCCCTTTAGGATATTGTCCCGGTGACATTATTATCGCGCATCGTTATTCTAAAAACGCCCACCCCTATCCACAGCCGTGCGGGGTCTTGGAACCTTGCTCAGCGACAGAATCACAAAACCACCAAAGGTAGTGCGTAGTGCTGACTTACTGGATCATATGTTATGTGGAGGGTAGTTCCCAAAACGGCGCTCTAATCCGTCGGGCGAGAAAACCGCTATGCCCTGCCTCTCTTAGGCCCGTATTAAAGAAAGATTCTCAGTAATGAATCTAGCCTTGAGCGTACATAGAAAGGGATGTCGCTATATATAGCACATAGCGATATCCCTTTCTAACTGTACTCAATTAAAGATCAACACTTAGTTGTCATTCTGTAATACGGGCGTTAGACTTCGCATTTCATATATCATTAAATAGCAATGATATGAATTGTTAACAATAGAAACGCACAAATCAACGAAGAGGACTGGGTCACCTTGAACAATGTAGCGCAACGTTATAATAATAACACAACATTGATTCGCAATAAACCTAGTTGAATTATTTGAAACTAAATAGATTTTGTGTCAAATTGACAAAATTCGTGCTTGGGCGTCAGTAGGATCACCTCACGGTGGTGTGAATTCTTTTCAGTATGTTTTTTAAACGGCTGTTAAACAATATTGTTTTGTGCGATTTGGATTCTTGATGATATTTAAAGCCACAGTGATATAGCATATAGCGGACCAGGCAGCAAGACGGGACTCCAACCCGCACCCTTCGTTATCCGGGCGAATGCACTGCCAATTATGCTACCTACCTACAACGGGTTCGAGTCCCGTCTGCTGCCAGATCCGAGTGTAATTTTTTCTTGTAATATTTCTTTAGATCTGAAGAAAAAATATAATACTGTGGCAATCGGGAACATTCGCAGTTCGCCTACGTGAGAAAAAAACATTCTCAATTGGTCATTACGATTATGGTCTCAGGTCATGCGTTAAATCGTCCCAGATAGTATAGTTAAGAGGAACACCTAAAACAGATTTACTGTTACAGCTCCAAGATTTAGACCGAGAATAGTCTGAAACGTGCAAAAATAGTTAATCCATGCTGACAGTACTTACGGAAAATAGATAGTTCCGCTATCACAAAAAGTCAAAATACTTTGTACTCAGAAGAGACGGGCGGTGTTAGCGAATTTTAAAATGTGAGTAAAGTGTGAATAAGCGAATATTACAGTTGGGGTTGCCAGATGCTGGCTTATCAATTCCGATACATTTGCACCCCAGGGAGTGGGGGGCTGAAAAAATAAAGCATCAAATCAAATCCCCCACCACCCCCCCGTCATTCGTTGTTAGTTTATTTTGTTATGAAACTAGCTTTATTTATTTTATTATTATCGGAATCCGGGACATTAAGGTCTAATTACTGGACA